TCAGGTTACCAAAACAGTTGACTTCCACTTCTTCACAGATGAGCGAGTCAAACAGCAACCCAAGAACTAGGAAGAGTATAAGGAAGTCAACTTCATATCTGAACTTCAGAAGCATCCTTCCTCTCCTACCCGAGGAACCAGAGGATGTACTATCATTAAGCCTTTCAATCTGTCCAAAGGAAAGAAAAGAACATTTGACGAAGCAGCTTCTACATATGTGCCCATTGCACAGCAGATTGAAGCGTTCCACAAACGAACCCCTAATAGATACCATCTGAGGAACAAGAAGGACGAGAGCTTGTTACCCTCCAAACCTGTGAACAAGATTGCACGAGACCCACAGACCCCCATACTGCAGACCAAATATCGTGCAAGGGTTGTGACCTGCAAAAGTGCAGCTGAGCAGGAGGCTGAGGAGCTTGAGAAGCTGCAACAATACAAATTCAAAGCACTGGAACTTGATCCCAGAATTTTTGAAGGTGGCCCCATCTTGCCCAAGAGACCGCGAAAAGAAACAGAAGATGAACAATTTGAATTTCATTCCAGACCTTGCCCTACTAAGATCTTGGAAGATGTTGTGGGTGTTCCTGAAAAGGTAATTCCAGCCACTGTTCCTAAGTCACCAGTTTTTGCATTGAAGAACAGGATCCGAGTGCCCATCAAAGAAGAGGAGGAAGAGGAAAAACCAGCAGTGACCAAAGCCCAACCTGTGCCACATTATGGCGTGCCTTATAAGCCCCACATCCTAAAAGCAAGAAGTGTGAACCTGTGCCCTTTCTCCTTTGATACCCGGGACAAAGAACGCCAGTTGCAGAAGGAGAAAAAAATAAAAGAAATGCAGAAAGGAGAGGTGCCCAAGTTCAAAGCACTTCCTGTGTCCTATTTTGACACTGTTAACCTGCCAGAGAAAAAGGTAAAGAATGTGACTCAAGCTGAACCTTTCTCCCTGGAGACAGACAAGAGAGGCGCCTACAAGGCCAAGATATGGAAGCACCAGCTGGAGGAAGAACAGAAGCAGCAGAGGGAAGCAGCTTGCTTCAAGGCTCGTCCAAACACCGTCATCTTTCAAGAGCCCTTTGTTCCCAAGAAAGAGAAAAAATCAGTTGCTGGGAACCCATCTGGTTCTCTAGTTCAGGAACCTTTTCAGCTGGCCACAGAGAAGAGAGCCCAAGAGAGGCAGGAACTGGAGAAGAAAATGGCTGAAAAGAAGGCCTGGAAACTGCAGCAGTTGGAGGAAATCAGGCAGCAGGAAGAGGAGCAGCAGAAGGAGGAGCTAGCCAGGCTCCGGAAAGAACTGGTGCACAAGGCAAATCCAATACACAAGTACTCTACAGTGGAGGTGAAATCCAGTGAGCTGCCTCTGACTGTGCCAATGTCTCCTAAATTCTCCACTCGGTTCCAGTAGAAGCTGCATCACTTCACAGGCATGGAGGACATGTCTTCAGACTCACCCACCATGTGATGAAACATACCTGACAACTATGGAAGCCAGGTGTTTTGAAGATCACTTTACACAGAAACTTTGAAGCTAATGAGATACCACTCATTTAGACTTTAATCAGACTTCTTGTAGTTATTTCCTTCAGATGTTAGTTGGCCCTTTCCTGTTGGTCTTAACTCTGGCTAGAATTTCAAGTATTCATTTTGGCATAGTCTACTTTTCACCTGATCTCCCTCTACTACCCCTTTATATATGTATTTTAAGCATACAATAAAGGCAGTTAAGTCCTGGGCTGTAGTTTCAGTCACAGTCTAAGTGAGAAGTAGCCAGACTGTTAGAAGGTTCAGAATGAACTTATGTTCTGTTCAAAATGAGCTTATGAAGGAGCCCTTTGCTGTGATGTGGGCATGGCACCAAGGAAGACTGTGTTAACTACAGGAGAACTTACAAAGCTCTGTTGAAGCCTACAGTTTCAAAAAAAAGGACACTCTCCAAATTCGTGAGCTACCTGCAGGCTATACCTTTCCCTCAGTCTTTTATGAGTTATCATCCATGGTGGGTTGGCATTTGCTGATACAGTTTTCTTTGAATCATCCCTGCCTTTGGGTCTAACCTCTTACAAATATTTCTGCAATTTAGCCCAATAAAGCATTGTTCACTAAATTAGACTTTGTTGGTACCCTTAATTTGATCTGTTCTCTGTATCTTATTGAATAAGTGGATGTTTGCTCATGTCTCCATGGAATAGAGTAACAAAATAGGTGAGAGGAAAAAATGCAGGGATGATGGTAGGGGACTGTAGGTGGCATTGTGTCAAGGTATACCTACCCCTATACAATTATGCCACACAGAATATTTTGTATAATATGGTTACTGGGGAAGAAGGGAGTCAAATCCCATCTTGGTGTGGAGACAGGAAGGAGAGATAAAGGCAGCTATGCAGACAGACAGAAAAACTAGGGATAGAAAAGAAAGGCAGGGTTCTTGGGGGCTGAGGCAGGGGTGGGGGACAGAAAAGGAGAGGGGTGTTTTATTTGCCTAACCTGTCTGCCAAAGCAAACTTGCTTCTCTAGATAGGTTTGCTCTTCTTTTACGCTTGTAGGTAGCAAAATACTCACCCTTCCTCACTGTCCAACTCAGAGCACCAAGAGCAGGGTTTGCCTCAAAGGACGCTTCAAGAACTGGACGGAGAAATCCCAAGCGAGCTGCCTGAATCTTCACGAATTCTCTTGTTCTACCTTCCATATAAAGAACCAGGGCCAATTGAATTGGTGACTTTTGGTTTCCACCAGCTGTGGATGCCTTTGACATTATGACTGCAGAAGATTCCACCACAACCATGAACAGCAATCCAACAGTGGGGTCCTCCACCAAGGTACCAGAGGGTGTGGCGGGTGCACCCAACGAGGCTGCACTGTTGGAACTGATGGAGCGCACAGGCTACAGCATGGTACAGGAGAACAGGCAGCGCAAGTATGGTGGACCCCCGCCTGGCTGGGAGGGCCCGCATCCCCAGCGTGGCTGTGAGGTCTTCGTGGGCAAGATCCCACGTGATGTGTATGAAGATGAGCTGGTACCTGTGTTTGAGACCATAGGTCGCATCTATGAGCTGTGCCTCATGATGGATTTCGATGGCAAGAACCGCGGCTATGCCTTCGTGATGTACTGCCACAAGCACGAGGCCAAGCGAGCTGTTTGTGAGCTCAACAACTATGAGATCCACTCCGGCCGTCTGCTGGGGGTGTGCTGCAGTGTAGACAACTGCCGCCTCTTCATCGGTGGCATCTCCAAGATGAAGAAGCGCGGGGTGATCCTGGAGGAGATCACCAAGGTCACCGAGGGCGTGCTTAATGTGATTGTTTATGCCAGTGCAGCAGACAAGATGAAAAACCGAGGCTTCGCCTTTGTGGAGTATGAGAGCCATCGTGCCGCAGCAATGGCACGCTGCAAGCTCATGCCGGGTCGGATCCAACTGTGGGGCCACCAGATAGCTGTGGACTGGGCCGAGCCAGAGACTGATGTGGATGAAGACGTGATGCAGACAGTGAAGATTCTCTACGTGCGCAACCTCATGATCGAGACCACCGAGGAGACCATCAAGAGGAGCTTTGGCCAGTTCAACCCAGGCTGCATGGAAAGGGTCAAGAAGATCTGTGACTACGCCTTCATGCACTTCACTAGCCGTGAGGATGCTGTGCATGCTATGAATAACCTCAATGGCACGGAGCTGGAGAGTTCCTGCTTAGAAGTCATGCTGGCCAAGCCTGTGGACAAGGAGCAGTACTCCCGCTACCAGAAGGCAGTTAAGGGTGGTGGCGGCTCAGCTGAGGCGGTAGCGCAGCAGCCCAGCTACGTGTACTCCTGTGACCCCTACACACTGGCCTATTATGGCTACCCCTACAACGCTCTCATTGGGCCCAACCAGGACTACTTCGTGAAAACAGGCAGCATAAGACAGTGAAGTCTTGTCTTTGTCCCAAGCCAAGCCCAGGGATTCCAGCATCCTCACCAGGCCTTGAACTCCCAGTCCTCTTGCCTCAGGTTCCCAAGTGTAGGATGATAGGTAGGAACCTCCAAACTTGGCTTGCAAGGGGCTGTTTTAGAGTTCAGTTTGCAGCTGTGAGTGCTGGGTAAATGGCCAGATGAAACTTGCAAATAGCATAGAATGGAATACCCCGTCTAGGCATTTCTGAGTCACAGAACTGCCTTCTAAAAGGCAGTACAGGGTGTCAGAACCAAACTCTCTCCCCCGCCCCCGGAACGTCCCCTAGAGTCCAGCTACTCCTTTCTTGAGCATA